AGAGAGAGAGAGAGAACGAACAGAATATGCCCCAAATGAAGGACTTTCCCATCCTACCAATCATTCAAGGCTTCAGCCAAGTGTCTGAGACACCATTCTGATGACATGTTTCTGGGAAATAAAGGACCTGATCCTGAAAATACTCACATACATGCTTAATTTTAAACATGGGCATGTTTGCGGGATCAAGGCCATATTCTGGAATAGTTAATAAAATGAGTTATTTGCTCAACATGGTGATTGTCTTTTATTTTAAGGTAAAAACAAATTTGGTATAAGATCTAGATGATGTACAGTAGAATCAGTTGTTCAAAAATGTGAGACCTCAATATCAATTCAAAAAATTATATTAATAAAATATTAACTTTTTTAATGATAGATCATTACAAACTTCTCTGCATCTTTACTGAATATTTTGATACAGCTACAAATATGTTATAGCCAGGATGCTTAAAAATATAATAGAATAATATATTTAGCTAGTTAGTTATATTACAAATGTTCAAATTAAAGAAATCCCAGTAGGTATTTGCTTTTTAATGCCCAAGGACATATAAATGTCAGGAAGATAACCTCTCCTTGGTCATAAAATCATGTCTATTACCCCTAATAATGCTATACAAATTCAGAAAAGCTGCATTTTAAACTTTATTTTGCTTTAACTTTCTATGCCAATTTATTTTATACTATGTTTTGAAAAATGGATTTAAACTTAGTTGTTGTGACTGTTGCTTTGTAAAGAATATTTTATAGGAGTTTTAACTGTAAAGACTGCAACTGGTAAACAGTTTGGTCAAGAGGACTTCAAAGAGATGGAATACTGAAGATCCTTATCAAACCATAAAACTTGGGGTAAAGAGGGCCTGTATCAACCTCATCTTCTTTTCCAATAAAAGCCTTTGCATCTGTCTTAGAACCCCTGAGAAAAACCATGTAGTTGGAAATGTTTTAAGCCTCTTTTTTATTTCCAAAGTTTTGAAATGGTTTTGAAACACCTTTGTGAAAAGCACTCGCAAATGTTAGATAAATACAAAGCTCCTAATATCATTGCTATGTAAATGCTTTATGTATCAAAATGGAATCTAATGACCTTAATAAACTAATTGCTAATGTACGATGCAATTTAAATACAGAATATTTATAATAATGGGGAATTGATTAATTAATTACTAGCAGTGCTCAAAGCAACCCCTTACCCAAACTCAGGAAGACAACACTCATCCCTCCAAAAACGGTTAAAAAGAATCCACAGCTTCTTTAGCTTAAATAGTTAAAAAAACTTTAAAAATAACTGCTTTGAGAACTGTTTATATAAAAAAACAGAAGCACTGGATTTTTCAAAAACAGAATTTCAATTCCAGTTTAACTCTAACAAAAAAAAAAAAAAGAAATCTCTGAAAATGGACTAAACTTAAAAAGTCTCCCACTACAAAGACAGAGGAATATAACTGTCAAGAAAGAATTAGAATCCCAATGCATATATGCATTACCAAACTACATATTCATAAGATGAAGATGCTCCCAATGACAATCCAGGAGGGTACTGAGCCAATGAAAGGGCGGCAGCAACCAACTTTAAATTTAAAGCCTGAAAAAGCTGTGTTTTCCCCTTATAATTTCAAGAAAATAGGACACAGGAGGATATAAAATCTCTGAGAGTAAGCACCCCTCACACAAATACTCTGTGCTGCCCTTGTAATACAGCAAGTACTCACCAACTTATTCTGTCCATCTCTACAAGCACGCTGCCATGACAGCTCAGAGAAACAGAAAAAGACTCAAGAAGAAACCAACCCAAAGAAAACCTCCCCAAGATTTCAAGATGGATTAGTGAGAGAAAGTTAACAAAACATTGTCAAGGGATTAGATTTCAAAACTCTTGTAATTATTTTATTGGACTATTGAAATGCAATTGTAACTTAAACTATTAATAGTTTCTTCTGTTAATCACCAAATGGTTAAACCATGCATTCCCAGAAAGGAAACAAGGGCTAACCTTTGGTGAACAGAGAAATAGTGGGATTTAATTGGATTTAAGATTCTTGATATTCATAATGTGTCTGTCTAATACAGCTCATGGCTTCTTCTATGCAGAAGATTTAATTTTTTTATTTCATAGGATTTAGTGAAGATTGCTTACTTTGCACAATTACAAACTGGCTGATTACTAACAAACAAATAAAACTCTCCTTTCATTAAACAAAACTCTCTTGCCCATTTATAAGCCTTCTTAGCTATGTAAGGATATACTAAGACTGAGTCATCCAGGCACCCTGTCACCCTACACACTACTACAATAATAGTGGCACAAAATTAGCCTTCTGAGGTATCATTTGAAAACTACCACCACACTGGTTATTAATCTCATTGTAAAATGCATGTGTCAAGCTTATATGTGAAGTTATGAATCCCCTATATATGACATTACTAGAACATGTTTAAGACCAGACAGCCCAGTCTAGGTCAAGGTGATAACCAGGCCTGTTCTAGACAAAGGAATGTGAGTTTATCTCAGTTTACAGATTAACAATAAACAAAGCCATCTAGCTAAACCAGCAGGGTTTATTCTAATCCTGAACACATGAAACAGAAAATTAACATTGTTCCTGCACCCCAGAGAGACACAGGAGACTGAGTCACCAGGAGGCCTTCCTGACTTGTAAGACAAAGACAACCCCTTGTGGATATAAGAAAGAGAGAGACTCCATCTCAGCTGAGAGCTTCTTAATGATCCCTAAGCCCTTTAGCACCCATCAACCCTTAACCAGGGGGCAGGGCTACTCAGGAAGACCAGGGCTTTAAAAAGCCCGCTCCTAAATGACCAGAGGAGCTAGCAAACAGGAGCGGCTAACAGGGGAGTTTTGCGAGGGAGTTTACAGGGTGAGCGTGAGGGGGGACTACATACATTTAACATTCCTTAAACTTAAGCCCCAAACCACCCCCTGATAAAAATAAAACAACAACAAAGGAATAAGCTGCAAGAGTAAAAAGAGAATGCAGGCAGAAGTCCAGCAACAGAGTAGGGGCTACCCAGCAGGGCCTGCTTTAGGCTGATTCCACCGATTCCCCTGAATTGGGCCCTGCCCCTAAGAGGGCCCCGCGCAGATCGAGCAGTGTCCCTGCCTGAAGCAAAGCTCCATGGCTCTCCCGGAAGCAGCAGCTGTTGCTGCTAGGAAAGGAGAGACGCTGGCCGGCAGGGGCCTGAGGCAGAGGCAGCAGCGGCTGTTGCAGGTCAGGAGGGGGGAGAAGGCACATGTGCTTTGCAGCCTTCCCCTCCCCTCCCCCCGGCACTCACCTGGAGGAGACACCTAGGGGGCTTCCGGTCTGGTGGGAGACAGGAATCTCTGCAGTGGACCTCACTCACCTTAGCAGCTGCTGGGGCTTCGGTCGGTGAGTGTTTGACCCTGCGATTCCCCCTAGGTGTGTAATATTGGGTTGGTTTTGTGGTTTTTGGTGGTGTTGCTGTTTGAGGGTGAGTTTGTGCCTGCCTGTGTCTGTTTCAAAACTAAACTCGGGATCATGTAACCCAGGAAGAAAGCCCCGAGCCAGTACTTAGTGTTGTGAATTCCAGGTGAGAGAGAGAGGGAGGTTTGGAGGAGGAAATCAAATACATCAAGAGGGGAGAATGCGAAAGGTCTGCAACATAGCAGGCTGAGACTTTTATCTCTCCCTTCTCCCCCGAGAGAGGGGAAACTGAGGCACGGAGTGATCTGATTCCCCTCCCCAAATTATTTTGCAAAGGAGGGGGACGGGGGGCTCCTATCCAAACCAGTTCCCTTTCCATCAACTTTGCTTCCCCTGCTGCAAGACCACTGTAGGGGCTGAATATTTCCATTAAACTCTGGTTCCTTCATTTGCCCTGCAACAATAAAATAGACCGGCTTGGGGGGGGAGGAATATTCCCCCCTCCCAAAGCTGTGTGGACATTAAGTTTTTTTTTTTGGGGGGGGGGTCACGATAATATTCCGGATCGATCAAACACCCAGCTCAGCTTTCTAGCCATCCAGCAGCTCTAGGGCAGGGAAGGAGGGTATTCTTGGTGCAGAGTGGTCGCAAAACAGGGGTGAATTTACCGGGGGGGGATCCGGTTGAAATCCCACCCGATGCAGCCACACAGAATCGCTGGCGGTGCTAGGAGAGGCCAGGAGTGGAAGCAGGTGGCCCGGGGGTGGGGGGACATTTGCCCTCAGTCCTGGGCTCTGGGATGGACTAGACTGGGTGGGTGGTGGGTTCAGTCTAGTCTTCCAGCCTGTTGCTCTCGCTAGGGTTTGTGGTTTTCATCTGGCTCCACCAAAAAGATCAAACAAGCCCAGTAGAAAAGGGGGGTGAGAGAGGCGGGAAGGGGTTTGTAAGGGGTTAAAGTGACCCATCAATGAAAGAGTAAAACCAGAGTTTGACTGGGTTTCCCCCCAGCCACCACTCCTGCAAACACTGGGAAAGGGGCAGCCCCATCCCCCACCGAGGCTATGGTGAGGGGCAGCAGGGGAGGAAGGAAGCCACATGTGATGGCAGTCCCCTCCCCCCCCAGCACCCACCACCCCCTCTCCAGCCCCCAAACTCTGTCCCAGAGCCTGCACCCACCCCTCTGCACTCCCTCCCAGAGCCTGCACCCCTCCACCCATCCTGCACCCCACACCGTGCCCCAGCCCGGAGCCTGCACCCAAACTCTGTCCCACTCAGCCCTGGGCAAAGCTCTCCTTGGCTGGCTCCCAGCCCCTCTCCAAGGGTTGCAGCTGTCTGGAAGTGCCTGCCTTCCACACCTTCCTCATTCACACCTCATTCATTCAACAGGTCAATTGATTACAAAGTGGGGGAAGAACTTATTCTACTTCTAGCAAAAAGACATTTTTCTTTTACCTTAATTATACTACCTTAGGGGCCAGCTATAACATTACCAAGGTTCAATACAAAGTCATATAAAAGTTATACAAAAATGCATAATGCAGAGATTTATCTACAACTGCACTGATTGACTGCTGTGTGCAGTAATATAGTGACCCCTGGGTCTTTGAATGAGGCTTTATACTTGGGGGGGGGCAAGCTGCGAGCGGGTGGGCAAGCGGCGGGTGGGCAAAGAGGCAAGCAGTGAGCCAGCAGGGGTTCTAGGGGCGGGCATGGGGGTTTCTGGCAGGGGAGGGAGAAGGTGAAAGGAGGCAAGTGGTGGGTGGGGGACTGACTAGGAGGGACACAGCAAGCCAGCGGGAGGCTAGGGGGTGAAGAGGGATGTGATGGTGGGGCTGAGCGGGGAGGGGTTGGGTCCTATTTTACTGCTGTGATCTGGTCACCCTATGTCACCCCCCTCCCCAAACCTTCCTTTTCGGCCCACAGCTGTTTCGGCGGGGCGGCGCTGGGAAAGCAGGGTTTGTTTCCGGGGGGCGGGGGGGGCTGGGGGGGGGGAGGGGAGGAGGGCACAATTTTATATTAATAAGGAAATATTTTATAAATTTTAATAAAATAAACATTATTGAAGAAAATCAGTTGTACAACTATCAAAACATGAATTATTTTCCTAATATGAAAGTGAAAATCAGCTAATTAATATATGACGCAATGTTTGTAATATATAATTTTGTTATTATGTATATAGTCATGGAAAGTAAATAATACATGGAAGAAATGAAAGGGTTCTTTTTAAGTGGCTTTTTTTTTTAGTCATCCCTGCTGGGGCCCCGTCGAAACTGTTCGAATTGGGCCCCGCACTTCCTAAAGCCGGCCCTGCTACCCAGTTTATTGCACCCAATGCAGAATGTATGATTACCTTCCCTATGGGCAGGTGGCATATGTGTGCATTGGATGCATGGAGCTCCTGATCCTCAGAGACTGTGGACACCTTTGGAGAACAGGGTGGCTGAGCTGGAGGAGCTAAGGGAAACAGAGAGGTACATAGATGAGAATTTTCAGGACACAGTAGATCGGTCCCACCCCCAGTCTAACAGCCTTTGTGCTGTTGAGGAGAACATCCAGCTGGAGCAGAGGGAAACGATCCCATAGTTGGGACCCTCCTTCCAGATGATGATGTGGTATCCTCTCACACTCAGGATACATCTCCAGGGGAGGGAAATCCAGTTATTAGGGAGAGACAGGTATTAGTAATGGGCAATTCGATCTTTAGAAACATAGATAGCTGAGTTGGCGACGACCGGGAGAACCGCATGATGACTTGCCTGCCTGGTGCAAAGGTTGCGGATCTCTCGAGACATCTAGAGAGACTTATGTGTAGTGCTGAGCCGGTGGTCGTGATAAATGTAGGTACCAATGACATAGGGAAGGACAGGAAAGAGGTCCTGGAGGCCACATGTAGGCTGCTAGGTAAGAGATTGAAGTCCAGGACCTCCATAGTAGGATTCTCTGAAATGCTTCCAGTTCCACATGCAGGTCCAGTTAGACAGGCAGAACTGCAGGGTCTCAATGCGTGGATGAGACAATGGTGTAGGGAGGAGGGGTTCAGATTTATTAGGAACTGGGGAAACTTTTGGAAAAGGGGGAGCCTATATAGGAAGGATGGGCTCCAACTAAACCAAAATGGAACCACATTGCTGGCACTTAAAATTAAAAAGGTCGTAGAGCATTTTTTAAGCTAAGAGCTGGGGGGAAAGCCGATAGGTGAGGAGGAGCACGTCGTTCGGTCAGAGACATCCCTTAGGGGAGGATCTACTAATGGAGATTCTCGATGTCCTAGTAAGGAGGAAAGTATGGAAGATAAATTACAGGTGGGATCTGATGAGAAACAGTCAAATGAACAAAAGTCTCATTCAATTACATCATGTAATGGGAGACAGCTAAAAAGAGACAAGTTTTTAAAGTGCTTATGTCAGGACTGAGATGACTGAGATCCCC